GGAGCCATGAACATGTTTGTCTGTGGAGACATGAACATGTTTGTCTGTGGAGACATGAACATGTTTATCTGTGGAGCCATGAACATGTTTGTCTGTGGAGCCATGAACATGTTTGTCTGTGGAGACATGAACATGTTTATCTGTGGAGCCATGAACATATGTGTCCGGACAGGGTTTTATGAAAGGAACAGTTCAAACGGGCTTTACTGAGACAAAGGAAAACACACTTCTCTTTACTCCGATCAATATGTTCTCAGTTCATTTGCAGAAGTTGATTAGAAATGTTCAGTTCCCACTTCCTGTTTGAGTCGTGCAACAGACATGTGTTTCATATAACGTTTCGTTAAGTGTTTTTCTCTGTTCAGCTCTAAGTGTATAAATTAGTTGTTTATTCTGAGTGGAACTGATCAGTTTCCCATGAGACGGTTCTTTTCTGTGGGCAGTGCATCAGTCGAGCAGATCTCCAGAGGAGCTTTTTTAAAAAATTTTTCATTTCTCAAACTTAAAAGCGAACTTCTCATCTCGGCTACACTCCTTCCAGCAGACACTTGATAACGCTCCAGTCAGACGTGCTGAGAAACGCTCGTTCTGAATGGATTCCAGTGGAGTTAAGTTTGTCCCTCAGGTTTGTTGTGTGGCCTTTGAAGTTTGCTCAAATTGAATCAATCCCTGCTGAAGCCGCTGTGCAGCTGCKTGCTGCTCATCTCTGGGGAGGAAAAGGACTTTTTAAAGAAAATCTGAACTCAAGTTTTCAYATTGTAAAATCTAAATTTGTAGAATAATGCAGTTAAACCAACAGTTGTACCTCAGATTGTAGAAAAACAACAGCTTCATTCATATGTTTTCATTAAAACACATCAAATCTGATGTATTCAATGGTTATCTAATAAAATTATTTTTTATTTGATCTCTTTTATAATCTATAACATCTCAGAACTGCTCAGATTCTGATGATGTAATGATTGGAATGTAAAACCACATTTTATTGGAATTAAATCAAATCTCTGCCATGGGCTTTTATTTTGAAACCATGAAAAACAACATATGTAAATAATTATAAACACATAGGTTAAATAATATTGAAAAATTACATATTTATACGAAATTATTTCAACTAAAACCACAGCTTTCACATTCTAATTGGTTTTATTTATTTATATTTTTATTTTAGTTTTTTTTTATCTAAAGCAGGGGGAACATGTGTGAGTAAAGCAGCTCCAGACATCTACAGTTAGATTTAAATCTTAATAAAAATAYTTTGATGCATTGAACCCGCTCACAGACTCAGATATGTTTGCTCCAGTTTATTTCCTGCTACCTAACATGATCTTTACTCACTGTTCGTTTATCCGAATAAAAGCCCAAACCCCAACCAGCTCCAGTTCTGGACTCTAATCCCAGATATTTTGCCAAAGTTTTTTTTTTGCCTCACACATTCAGACGGCGTTAAACTGAAAGATCTGTCCCTCCAATCACATCCACTTCCTGCAGTTTCTCAGATTTATTTCTTTTTGCTGGAATTCGACCTGAACTGTCACAACTTCTTATATTTCTCACTTCACATCAGTGCAGGAGGAATATGCAAGCTGCAGGTCACGACGAAGTCTCCAGAGCCTCACAGGGCTGACTTTATCTGCACCTTTCTTAGGTTATTTTCTATTTTATTTCTGTTCCGTCCAAGAAAAAACAACGTTAAAAATTCAAAATGCCGACAACAAAGAGACTCCTTCCTTCTCAGATTGTAGGAGAACATTAAAACGGTACTTAATCCCTTTAAACATACAGTATTCATGCACTCACAAATATTTCTCCAAGTCATGCATAAGAAAGCTTTATTATGTTCTGCGGCTTGTTTTATTTATGAGGCCTGAAGCGCTGCCTCAGCTGGCCAACAGTTAAAGTGACTCCATTATCCTCAGTCATTGTTTAATGTTTGTTTAGCTCTTGTTCATCAGTTGGAAAGGCAACGCAACAAGACAGAAACATGCAGCAGGAACATGAAGTCAAAGAAAAAAAAACAGAAGCAGTGGTTCGGTGTCAGATGTGCAGCTGGAGTCGCCTCCTCGTGAGAGGGAGGGGTCGCCTCCCCGTGAGAGGGAGGGGTCGCCTCCTCGTGAGAGGGAGGGGTCGCCTCCTCGAGAGAGGAAGGGGTTCTCCAGGGTCTCCCGTCGGTCAGCGTCCACGGTGGAAGGTAGAGGGAGCAGGAAACCCACAGCTGAGCTCGTCCTTCATCACCACAGGCCGGAGCAACTTCCTCGTTACTCCGTGTGTCTGWCCATCTAACTGTGAACAAAACTCTCCAAACATCCTGCAGAAAATCATAAAATGGTTCAGAAGACCAGCTCTGAACATGAACTTACTCAACATCCCAACTTTTTAAGTTTTTCCTTCAAATCTGTATCATTTCTGGCTCCAACAAA